TCACTCTGAATAAAGCCCATATTAAGTATTGCAGAGCTGAATTTCTCAAACCAGCCTCGAGGAGCTTGTTTTAAGCCATATAATGCACGACGAAGATGACAAACTTGTCCTGACAAATGAGGAAGACCTAGAGGAGGTTGCATATAAACTTCTTCATGAAGATCACCACGAAGAAAAGCGTTCTTCACATCAAGCTGATAGAGAGGCCACTGTTGAGCAGCTGCAACAGCAATAAGAGATCGAACTGATGTCATTTTAGCTACAAGAGCAAAAGTATCCTCATAATCAATCCCATATTCTTGGGTAAATCCTCGAGCAATTAGACGAGCCTTGTACGGATCTATTGTACCATCTGAACATATTTTAACTTTATAAACCTATTTGCAACTAATTGGAACTTTGTTTGGAGGTAATGAGACAAGATCCCAGGTACCAGTCTTTTGAAGGGCGGCTAACTCTTCCTTCATAGTTGTTCGCCACTCAAGAGAAAAAGCAGCTTAACGATAAGATGTAGGCTCATGATGCGAATGAATAGTTGTCAAGAAGGCATGAAAAGTAGGAGTAAAAGATGAAGAAAGACAACCAAAGAATTGTTTTGCCTTACGAATACAGAGAGGATAGCGACGATCAGCTAGTGAAGAATCATCATCCTGAGCCGAGTTTGAATGGTCAGCAGGTGAGGCTGGAACATGTACACTTTGGTGATCATCAGAGGATGAAGATGGAGATGGAGAGGAAGGTGATGAATCTACTGGAATCGAAGGTGTGGTAAGCTCAAGAAATGAAAGATCAACGGAAGTAGGTGATGTATTATTATCATTGATGGACTGTCTAGAGTAATATGAAATATGCTCCAAAAAGGTCACATCTCAGGAAATGCGGAGTCACTTTTTAATTGGATCATAATAGCGATATCATTTGTGCTCAAGACTATATCCAAGAAGAACACAAATTGCAGAACGAGGAGATAACTTATCTCTTTCATGAGATGGTAATAGAACTTAACAAGTACAGTCAAACACACGAAGATGTGAATAAGGACGACGGGATGTCAATTTTTCAAATGGTGATATGTCAGAAAGAACTAAAGAGGGCATCAAATTGATGAGATACACAACTATAGCAACAACATCAGCCCAAAATTGTTTAGGCATGGAGCTAGAGATGAGTAATGATCTTGTAGTCTCCATAATATGATGGTGTTTTCTTTCTGAAACACCATTTTGCTGATGTGCATAGGGACATGAAAGCTGTGAAAAAGTACCTTGATCATCTAGAATACGACGAAACTCATGCGAGAGATATTCACCACCAGAATCAGATCGAAAGGTTTTAATAGTAGTGCCAAACTGGGTTTTGATCATAGTAGTGAAATCTTTATAAATTTGAGGTAGAGATGAGCGGTGATGCATAAAATAAACCCAAGTATAATAAGAAAAGTCATCAATAAAGATAATATAATATTTATTACCATTACAAGACGATAAGGGGGTTAGGCCACAAACATCTGAATGAACAAGTTGAAATGGGAAGCTACTTTGAGACTCGTTAAGAGGATAAGGTTTAGTGACGTGGTTAGATAGTTTACATCCCATACAAGTAAACAACCTCAAAATGGGATAACTACCCAAAACGCCATTATTTGAGAGAAAGCAAAGACGATCAGTAGATAAGTGACCTAATCGATGATGCCAAAGATCTCCTACGGAAAAAGCATCAGCATGAGTAGTGACAGAGTGTACGGATGCGGAATGGGTGATAGAAGTGGATGATAGTGTTAGATGATCCATAATGTAAAGTTCATCACGCCTATGTCCCTGACCAACCAAGGCTTCGGTCTAACGATCCTGCACATAACAAGAAGTAGAGTAAAAAAACCACAATACAATTATGATCAGTTATTTGACTAACTGAAAGTAAGTTCAATGAAAGATGTGGTCTGTGTAAAACAAATGAAACAGATAAGCGACCAGTAATAGATCCCTTATGTGTAGCAGAGAGAGGATCCATTTGTTGTAAAAACATTGACTTGAGAAGGTAAAGGTGATGGAGAGGATAAAACAGGTGCATGTGGAGTCATATGAAATGAAGCACCAGAGTCTAGTATCCAAATATTTTTTGGTATACCTGTGGGACCAGAGGTAGTGAAAAAAGTATGACCAGAGGTACCAAATGGAGAGGATGTAAGGACACTCAGAGCATCAACTGGAGAGGAGATAGAGGTGTCCCGCCCTTGAAGCATCTGGATCAATTATGACATAGAAAGAGTAACACTCGAAGTAGATTCCTCAGGAGCACTAGAGAAAACAACCGGGTTTGTAGAACACTCATCGGCAAAAGATTTATCACCCGAAGTTACCACAATAGCAGTCGATCGTTGACGAGGATGTCGGTTTTCAGCTTGTTGTTGCTTAAAACAATTTTGGATGATATGTCCAGGACGACGACATTACCGACAATAATTATTCCTTTGTTTATTGGAAGAGACCGATGGTGCTGAAACAGTGGCCGAAGATGAATGTGGTACAAATGGTTGTTGAGCAACCAAAGCACCTTGAATAGAAGCAGTCTTTGTGTTTAGGACACGTTGGTGAGTCTCTTTAGCGATAAGTTCGGCCAAGGCATCATCAAGAGTTGGTAGTGGTGACCGATGAAGAATTTGACCGTGCAATGACTCATACTCAGGTCGCAGACGCATCAAGAATTGAAATAGTCGATGTTGATCGCGAACACGATGCTGCTTGGTGGCACATGCACAAGCCGCACAAGTTTAACACAAAGGTTCCTCCATTATTGCAAGTTGGCGCCATTGAGCATGCATAAAATTATTAAAATCTTGGATGGATCGCTCATCTTGTTGAGCAAAAGAGAGTTCTTAGTAGACAAAATATGAGTGAACATGACTAGATTGTTGATAAAGTCATTGCAATTGGCGCCACATGGCAAGTGCAGTCTGGAGACTAACAAGCTGCATGTGGATGATAATCTCTATGGAGGAAGAAATAATGTCACGTGCTCGGCAGTCTGCAAGAGCCCATGCCGCTGCTTGCTTAGCATCAGCTCCAGATTCAGGAGGCGACGTGCCATCAATGTGGTTCGTGAGATCAAGAGCATCAAAAAGAAGTTGCACAGAAATCGACCACTCATGGTAATTGTTCCCTATAAATTCACATCAAGCTGAGGAAACTTTTCAATAAAGTTTGCAGTCATGTTTAAAATAGAACCCGAAGGTTTAAAATAGAACCCCAAAGGTTTAAAATAGAACCCAAAGGTTAGAAAGAAATCTGAATGTTAGGATGAAACCCGAATGTTAGAAAAAAAACCCGAAGGTTTAAAATAGAATGAACCCGAAGGTTAAAATGAACCCGAAGGTTAGGATCGTCCATTTTTTTAGTAGAATAATGGAATATAAATTCAACTAGTGTTGCTCGTGCCTCTCTCTCCTCTCAAAAAGAAAAGCTCAACGAAAAGAAGAGCCCAACAAAGTCTCTCTCTAAATATTCAGTAACCTGGCCCAACAAAAAGAAAAGCCCAAACCCAATACAGAAAAAACACACAAAAGCAGCAGCAGATGCCCAACAAATTCTCTCTCTCGGCCTCAGGTCTCACCGCTCGAGGACTCCTGCGTCGGATCTGAAGTAGATTCTCCAGCCTTTACCGGAGTAGATCGATCCGAAGTCGATGCCGTCGGATCTGAACGGAGAATCGGACGGGGGATGCCGTCGGATCTAAACGGAGAATCGGACGGGGGCCGCGGCGGCGGCTGCAAGAGTCGGCAGATCGTATACTCCAACTAATTTAATTGATAATTGTTTTGTTATTAATGTTGCTAAAACTGATGCAATACATAGATCATGTTAACCTTTCTTTAAAAAAGTTACATAGTTTTGTCATGTCATCAACGGAGGTTACTGACATGGCCGTCGGATCTGAACTAATCCTATATATATGTATGTAGACTGTGTAGTAGCTAGGAATGACATTTTTCTACAAAATTGAATGCCTAGAACTTTGGTATGCGTATTAGTTTATTTTGATAATTTTCTAGCTTTGGTTTAGGAACTAGTCTTTGCCAATTGTCTTTCCTCAATTTTAGTGATCATAATCTTTGACCTTCAATTTAAACATGACCTGCAATCTTAGATTCAAGAGTAACTCTGATTTAATACAATTATCTAATCTTAGAGAAAGAGTTAATTTCTAATGAAAACAATTGTTCTAAATAAGTCCTCCTTCCTGGTTGGAATGTATGTAATTATGTGCTACTGTTTTTGCAGCATGTTTTAACTTATTAATTACTTAGCCTATAGCATCTTATTTCTTTCTTTAATTTTTTTTATTGGTACTTATTGTTTTCAGAAATATTATAAAAAATGGGCTCACTCGATGGACTCCCTATCGATATCTTGCGACTGATAGTTGAAAAGATAGTTGGTCATGCAGATGTTCTTCGGTTTGGTGCTGTTTCTAGGAAATTCCGCTCTTTTGTCATGGATAATATTCACTCCCGTCGAAATTACCATTGTGCCTCTGTGTCCTGCCTAGTAAACCCCCTCCCCTGCCAATGCTAATGCAGTGTAATGACAACGAGTGGGAAAACATCAACTTCTTTTCTATTTCAGATTGGAAACGGCACGGGGAGTTTCTCGTGCCAGAAATAAGAAATAAGTGGTCTGTTGGATCTCGTTATGGTTGGTTGTTCACGGTTGATACACAAGGTCGAAGCATACAGCTGCTGAATCCGCTAACAAGGGCCCAAATCCCTCTCCCATCGCTTGACGCATTCGAACATCCCACTAGTTGGGTCAATTACGATGAACACACCGATTTCGGATTTGTTCGTAAGGCTGTCATATCATCAGATCCTTCAAATAAGAGGAGAAATTTGGATGGTGATGATGATTGCGTACTAGTGATTGCAATCATCACTATGTTTGAAGTGCTATCATTTTGTAGGGTCGGAGATGACAAGTGGAATACTAGTGATTGCAATCATCACTATGTTTGAAGTGCTATCATTTTGTAGGGTCGGAGATGACAAGTGGACTAATGTAGAGGGTTCCCCCTTGTATATCAGAAGTGCTATCATTTTGTAGGGTCGGAGATGACAAGTGGACTAATGTAGAGGGTTCCCCCTTGTATATCACAGATGTCATCTGGTACAAGGGTGAGGTTTATGCGGTTGATGGGTGTGGGGTAGCTGTTGTTTATGATTTTGCAGGTGATAAGACGATCAAACAAATTGCATATTCACCGGACGATTTACTTAGCCGTGAGAGGTATCTGGTTGTGTCGACAAATGGAGACTTGCTACAAGTTGTAAGAGAAAAAGCGTATGAACGGTCAGATAAAGAAGAAGATGAGTTTTTGTTGCCAACATGTGATTTTGTGGTGTATAAGCTTGAAGTTTTTGATGAGCCAGTCAAGCCTGAAGGTGTTGGCTACTCCACCCTCAAAACTCGGAACACCACCCTCAACCGCAGAATCCCAACTAACCACAAATTCAATTTTAAATGGGTTGAGATGGAAAACTTGGGAGATCACGCAATATTCGTGGGTCAGAACTACTCATTTTGTGTGCCTGCAGGTGAATACCAAGGATGCAAGCCAAATTGCATATATTTTACAGATCATGGATTGCTCCATAGCATCATTGCAAGGGGAAATTTGGACCAGGAGGAGATCCATGAATACTCTGCTTGTGACATGGCCATTTATAACTTCAAAGATAAGTATTTTGAAGAGTTTACCCAACTAAATGACAGGTATCATGTCCCGCCCATTTGGATCACTCCAAACCCATGGTAGATAGATGTATTGTTCGTTATTTCGATCTTGTTTCCGATATGTGAGATTTTTATTTATGCGGTGTGGCTAATTCAGTCGGGTAACTTAATCTGTTTATGCAGTGTGTGTGGTTAATTTAGTCAAGTGCATTACTCTGAATGTGAGATTTTTATATATGAAGTATGGTTAATTTATTTAAGTACATTACTCTTGATTATTTTTAGTCCTATGCTCTCAGGTTGTTAAACATTTGCAGGACCTGAAAACTAGTTACGTTGAAGATAGAATTGGTAGAGTAAACCAATCCTCAGACTCGGGTAATATGCTTACGTTTATGGGCAGTAGTGATCCAACAATTTTTTAACTCAATTCAATTTTATTTTATTTCATTAATTTTTTATATAAATATATATTCAAAATGAGCGCTTCCGGAGTCTATCTACAAGCACTGGAAGGAAACAAGGGTTTTAATATTTTTTCGGTCATGACAAAAGAAGAAACAAGTTCAAATATTTGGCGTATAATTGTAGGTTTGTAGTTAATACTTGGGGGTGATAATTGGCAATTTGTCAGACGTGAAATGAATAATTAACCGTCTATTATAGTATCAAAATTTGAAGACTTAGTAGAGCATCAAATAAGAAAAGCATCTACACAATTAAGAAACCTTGAATTATATTTTCAATTATCAAAACATGAGACCTCAGGCATTGCCAAACGGCGCAAGTGATAGCCCAATACGTTAAAGCAACCAGAAATAACAGCAGGAATGATGCTTTTACAGAGCAAGTTCCAGCAGCCTCCCAGTTGGAGTCCTAGTCAGCAAGCTCTCAAGCAGTTTTGCATATTAAAAATTATTTAAATTAGGTCTTGGGAAGTCAGTCATACTATATTTTATGATAGCGATTTCCAACAAGCCCTCCTAGTTAGGTAGCCTCAACAATATTCAAAAAAAACCCCTCATAACAATAGCAGCTACACCCAATAACAAAAATCCCCAACCCAAACTTCTTTCGCCAACCTCCACCCCAAAATCCCCCCCAAACCCTCTGCACCCAATCTTTCAGCCCAAACCTCCACCCAAATCCCAATATCCTCCGACCCAAACGCCTTCTCCCGACGACGATCAATTATCCGGCGACGTACGACCTGCGCAGCTTCTATCTCCCCAAACCCCAATCTTCCTAGCGACGACCGCCCGCACTCAATCTTCGACGACGACGACGACCCGCCAATGGCTCTGGCTTGTCCCCCCCCCCTCCCCCCCCCCCCCCCCTCCCCCACACCGCACCACTCCCCCCCCCCCCCTCCCCCCCCACAACCCCAAACCCTCGACATCGCCCGGAGCACGCGTCTGCGAGGCCTCTTCGTCCCGCCAAATCATCTTCAGCTCCCTTGTGTTGGCATCAATTTGGTTAGGAGGATTTTTGTAGGGCGCTGGGGGCGGTTTTGTAAAAATTTCAGAGCCAGCTTGGGGTAGCTCCCAAGCGCTCCACAAATTTGTGGAGCGCTTGGGAGCTCCGATGGCTGCAAGCTCCACGTCAGCGTTGAGAGCCCTTGAGAGCGGGCTTGGGAGGTTGCTGGAGGGTATGCAGAATCGTTCCACCGCCACATCAGCCTTGAGAGCTCTTTTACGAGCTTGCTGCCCTTGCTCTAACAAACAGCATTTGCCATTAAAAAAAAAGGGGGATGTGACATAGGGAAAAGATACATCATATTAGCAATTTTTAACGTAATGAAGATTCGCGTTTGTTGGGGCGGATTCACGCCCACCGCCGCGGAAGCGATATCACCTGAGAGATAGCCCTAGCTTTCGTTATCACAAAAGCACAAGTCAACCTCTATATTCTTGTTTCTCAAAGGAAACGAGAATAGATAATGAAATTCTTATTTCTCAAAGGAAACAAGAATTGAAAGTGATATATTTCATCAAAGTAAAATATACACTCTTCCTCTCATCAGCTCTAAGACCGAATATTGAGGGAACCTACAAGCTATGACAACTCACAGATAAAACAAATACAAACACGAGATTTACGTGGTTCGGCTAACTAGCCTACGTCCACGGGAGGGGGGGTTTCACTATGAGGAGAATACCAAACTTACAAGTTCTCTCTCACTCACTCTTTCTTTTCTCTCAAAGAAAACTCACACAACCCACTTGATTTTTCCCACAATTTTCCCACACAAAAACTCCTCCACCACCACCTCTATTTATAGCAGAAGAGGTGGGGGGGCTCAGAAAGAAAGCAGCTCACACGAAGGCGGGCGGCGCGAACGCGAGCAGCAAGCGGCGCACAAAACTCGAGTTGTCCACTCGAGCACGTCGTGGGCAGGCGAAGAACTCGTCCGCACAAGGGACAAGCCGCAGCGGGCACGTGGGTGGGCCCCCCCACGATCACAATTCTCTACCTCGTACATCATTTGATAAACCTCAAATTTTGAACGAACACCAGAATCACCCCACGAACTCCACCAGAGAGATTCAGGCTAAACCAGGCCAAGGCCAGCTGCGTCACTATACCGCGACTGCCTACGTACCCTCCACCGGGATCAAGCTAACCGTAGTTCTGAAATTATTCTCCAACATAGTCTCCACCTCACCTCCATCTCTGCCCCGCAGGGCCATGCCCTCTTGGACAACTCAACACGGGCTAATATGAAGCAAGTCCAAGCAATGCTGGAACTTGCTGCCTGTGACCACCTTGGTTAACATGTCCGCGGGATTCTCATTCGTGTGCACCTTCATGAGAGAAATATCACCATCCTCTATGACATCCCGTACAAAATGATACCTGACATCGATATGCTTGGTACGAGCATGATGAACTTGATTCTTTGCTAAGTGAATAGCACTTTGACTGTCGCACCATAAGTTCACGCTTTCCTGCTCTATCCCCAAGTCGTCTAGAAGACCCCACAGCCACAATGCTTCCTTCACTCCCTCCGCCATAGCCATGTACTCGGCCTTTGTTGTAGAAAGTGCCACTGTAGCCTGCAACATCGATCGCTAACTAACTGGAGCTCCATGTATTCTGAATACATAACCAGTAGTAGATCGCCGTCTATCTAGATCACCCGCATAATCTGAGTCCACATACCCGTCAATCTGACATGTATCTCCACCAAAACACAGACCCGTATCCGCGGTACCTTTCAAGTACCTCAGGACCCATTTCACCGCTTCCCAGTGCGTCTTTCCCGGATTCGCCATGAATCTGCTGACCACACTAACCGCCTGTGAAATATCAGGGCGTGTACACACCATTGCGTACATTAAGCTACCAACTGCACTAGCATAAGGGACACGATCCATGTGTGCCTTATCTTCTGCTGTAGTGGGAGATTGTTTACCTGAAAGCCTAAAGTGTGGAGCCAATGGGGTCACCACCGACTTTGTACTTTGCATCCCGAACCTCGCGATCACCCGCTCTATGTAGCCCTTCTGACTCAAGAACAATCGCCGATTCGCCCGCTCTCTTCTAATCTCCATACCCAGTATTTTCCTAGCAGCGCCCATGTCCTTCATCTCGAACTCATTGCTAAGTTGAGATTTCAGCTTATCTATCTCCACCTTGTTTTTCGATGCAATAAGCATGTCATCCACATACAACAGGAGATAGATATAATCACCTCCACGAAGCTTCCGAATGTAAACACAACAATCATAGTCGCTTCGGGAAAACCCATGCTTCAGCATGAAGGAGTCAAATCGCTTGTACCACTACCGAGGAGATTGCTTCAATCCATAGAGTGACTTCCTCAAGCGACATACATGATGCTCCTTATCCTCAACCTTGTAGCCTTCAGGTTGACGCATGTAGATCTTTTCATCCAAGTCTCCGTGCAAGAAGGCCGTTTTGACGTCGAGTTGTTCCAGCTCAAGATCACCATGAGCAAAAATACTCAGTAGCACCCGAATAGAAGTGTGTTTCACCATCGGAGAAAATATCTCATTGTAATCCACACCCTCTCTTTGTGCAAACCCCTTGACCACTAGCCTCGCATTGTACCTCGTTCCACCGAGCTCTGAAAGATCTTCCTTTCTTTTATACAGCCACTTACAACCTATAGCTTTCTTTCCTACGGGCAATGGGACCACCTCCCACGTTTGGTTCTTCCGGAGAGATTCCATCTCCTCCTCCATCGCAGCCAACCAACTCTCACTATTCTTGTCTCGAATAGCTTCCTTGAAGGAGACCGGCTCATCTTCCTCCACCAAGAGTGCGTATTCAACCAAATTAACATGCCCATAGTGCTTCAGGGGTTGATCAGCCCCCAGCTTCTGTACCTGCTTGTATACTCGCCTTGGCCTAGTGGAAGCCAAGCTATCCTCGAGCTGATGTTGTTGTAGTGCATGTGTATTCTCTTGCTGAACCTCTTCCTGCTCAAGCTCATCATCTTCCTGATTTTCCACTTGAACAGGACTAGAACCTGGTTGGTCTTTAGGTTCTATCTCAATAACCTGGGACTTGGAAGTCCCAACAGTCTCAACACCATCATCCTTGGGCACCTTAATAATCATGGACTTCTCATCAAAGGTAACGTCCCTGCTGATAACGAACTTCGAATCTTCTGTACACCAAAGGCGGTAGCCTTTTACGCCCTTTGCATACCCCAAGAAAATTGCCTTCTTGGCCCTCGCGTCAAGCTTTCCCTCGTTGACGTGATAGTAGGCGGTACATCCGAAAATCCGGAGCCTATCATAATCTGCATGCTCCCCTGACCACACCCTATAGGGTGTATCACCGTCCAATGTCGAATGTGGAGATCGATTCACTATATAGCATGCTGTAGCAATCGATTCTGCCCACCATTCTTTGCCCAAACCAGCATATGATCGCATACTCACTGCTTTCTCCCGCAGTGTTCGGTTCAGTCTTTCCGCGACCCCATTCTGCTGTGGTGTAGATCTAACTGTCCAGTGTCTAGCAATGCCCTCCTGATCACAAAACTCCTTGAAGGCACCATCTGTGTACTCTGTACCGTTGTCAGATCTCAGCGTCTTCAATTTCTTGCACGTCCTGTTCTCAACCATCGCCTTCCACTTCTTGAATGTCTCAAATACCTCATTCTTATGCTTCAGGAAATAAACCCAGACATATCTTGAATGATCATCTATGAATGAGACAAAATATCTGGAACCACCCTTGGAAGTTGTCGAAGCCGGACCCCAAACATCCGTGTGCACATAATCTAGTA